TGCAGCCTTCCCGGTTACCTCTATTGCCGGGGCTCCATGCTGTGCGCCTGCAGCTCTATCACTCACAGCAGGAAAAGCCCCATGCTGGAGCCTGCTGCCTTCCCTGCCCCTTGCGGCACAGGTCCCTGTACTCTGCCAGGACTGGTGGGAGCCTCACCCTCTGCTTCCCTGTGGAGTTGAGTGCAGGGCTTCCTTGCTGTGAGTTTGGGAGCTGCAGGTGCGCGGTGCTGAGCCCCTGTGATAGAGGCTGCTGTGCAGGCTGCCCCCCTCTCCACCGGTGCAGCGCTGGCCACCTCTATCACAGGGGCTTTGCACCACATGCCCGCACTTGTGGCAGGGAAGAAGCCCGTGCTGGACTCCGTGGGGAAGCAGGGGGTCGGGCTCCCTCCACTCCTGGCAGAGTGCGGAGGCCTGCACCCCAGGGGGCGGGGAAGGCAGCAGGCTCCAGCGCGGGGCTTCCCCCACTTCGAGTGATGGAACTGCAGGCCCGCAGCGTGGAGCCCTGCTGATAGAGGCAGCTGGATAGGCTGCACTCCACCCCCACACGCAGCGCTGGCCAGAGCCGTGCCCCACCAGGCGCCTGCACTGGGCCCAAGTGCCCTGGCCTCCCCACCTGCTGCTGTTTCGGCTTGCTTCCTTACATTCCTGATCTCATCTCCTCCTATACCAAGTCCTGCTGTCTGCTCTCTGAGCAAGTCTCCCTGGGCTGTTCCATTCTGTTTACTCATCTAGTCCTGACTGCAGTCTTTTGCACCCCACTGCCTGTGCATGAAATGATTTTCTTGGTAAATGTGTCAAGAATCCTCACCTTTACAACACCAGTTTCATGGCGTGGGAATGACTGTAGACAAGGAATAAACATATGTACTAGCTCTTTGTTTTTGTTTCTGTACTAGGGTTGTAGGGTTTTTTGGGTCTGGGACTTGGTCAGTTTTGTCATGTGTATATTTTAACCACTCTAAGCAGTGTGGAAATTTAGCATCCTATTTAATTACTATGTATTTTTCATCTTCTGGAATACACTTACATGTGCATACAAATCTGGCTTGTCCTGGAAAACCTCGTGGCAGCTTATAGAGATACTTTTTTTTAGATAAATTGGCATTTTTTGTTGTTTTTTTTTTTAAAAAAAGCCTTGAAATATATGAAGTAGAACTGCAGTGGAGACGAATTCTGTGGACATTCTTACTGGGTGAAGCTTGCGTCTGTGAACAGGGTCAGTCTGGACAACAGTCCCACTGAAGTACACAATGGGTCAGTTCCCTCTATACCAGATTAAATTTTATTCACTGAGTTTAACTAAAAAAATATTTCCTTGCATCGACCACAAAAGGTAGAGCTGAAGTCCCTTTTTCACTTTAATGTGTAAGTTGATGTAGTTTAATGAGAAAATACAAACATCTTCTGTGAGAATATTAATGCAGGCAAGACTTCCATTTAAAAATTCTGTAAGATTTTAACTTTTTATTTCCATTGATTTTAATCTTTCCCCAGTGATGCAGTTTGACTTGTACGATTTTTAAGAGGGTAGCAGCTGTCTTGCTTCCAAAAGACATGGCAAATTTAATTTTTCTTTTTTCTTACACTCTCCAGGTTACAAGTGT